AAAAAAAAAAAAAAAAAATGAATTTCCAATTCTCTTCAATAAAAAAAATCTTTATTTTGTCACCATTTGCAGCTTGAAGCCCACAGGAGAGCAATATCTGGTGAGATGGGCTTCATCTAAGCTTCACAACAGCTCGTCTTTGGCAAAGATGGTCGATCCAACCATTGCAAGAACCATATCTCTCTTTGTATTCAGGTATTCAGGTAATGCAAATGGAAAAAACTGCAAAATGAAAAATGCTTACTTCTTTCTTTCTTTCTTCCCTAAATCATTAAGTTAGGGAAAAAGATGACATTAGAAAACTTTTTGAGTTGTTTTTGAAAGAGTATGATGCAAAAAGATGACATTAGAAAACTATATTATGATGACAATAATAGTGATCATTATTTTTAGCACATTGAAGATATCATAAAATAACAAAATAAAAAAAGATATAAATTTTTTTAGCATTTACGTTTTCACTTAAAAAATATTAACTTTATTTTGGTTTTCAACCCAATGTTTTTTTTATTTAATTTTATTTATCATAGAGTACAACAAATAGTATTAAATACTACATTTCATTATTCAATAAAATACACCATTTTTCGTTAAACTAATTGAAAGAAAATTATATTATACTATTAAATATAAACCTAATACTAAATATAATTTTAAAAAAAATACTAATTGAAAGAAAATTATATTATACTATTAAATATAAACCTAATACTAAAAATAATTTGAAAAAAAAATCACGTGCGTATCACGTGCATCTTTCTAGTAATACTAAAGAAATAACAAAGGCAGAAACAACTGCAGAAAGATGACATAAGGGAAAGAAAATGTATTAGCAAAGAAAAACAATTCTTTGACGTCATCAAGGAATGCATCACGTTTGGTGCACCCTAACATTGTGACACTCGTCGGGTTCTGTATGGAACACGACCAGCATCTCATTGTGTATGAATACATAAAGAGTCTGTCACTTGAAAAGGCTCTGCATTGCCCTGCATACACACCGTTGTCTTGGGCTTACACCTTAGGATTGGTGCTTGGCGTGGCACAAGCTCTGACCTAAGCAATGATGCCTTTTTATGTACAACATTGTTCAAACAGTCATAATGTATTCTATAATAATTGTCTCACTTAGACAATGAACTTGTTTCAGGTACTCACATAGGTCATTGACGCCACCCATAACCCACAGTAACATAAAGGCGGCGA